AGTAGTGCACAAAGTCATCATTAAGGATGTAAGGATGTTTTCAGACTGAGTGGAGAGGATAAGTTGTTGAGACGTTGGCACGTGGGAAGTTTGCTGTGGCTGTCAGAGCGTGGGGGTGGGGGACAGGCAAAGTGGTCACCTGATCGTGGGGAGTGAAGTGCTTTGTGACCACTGCTGCTTGTGAAGCAGACAGACCCCTGTATGTTGAGTCACCAGAGCAAACACCACAGGGCTGAGCACCTAGTGGAGGCTCGGGAAGGCCTTCCGGGTGGGTAGTGAGTGCGGGGTCTTGAGGGCCTTCCTACGTCGACCCCCCCCCCGCAAGAAGACAACCCTGATTTCCGTTCTCTGTGCGTCAGTGCTTCCCTCGTAGAGGCGCGTGTGCTTTGGGGGACTCTGAACCCAGGCCTGGCCTGGCCAGCGGAGCATCAGTCTCCAGTCGCGGGAACGGCCGCGTGACAGTTTGGCTGGAGAAGCAGGAGGATAGGCTTGCTTGGGGCTTTTGAGAGAGAAGCACTTTTGCCTTTTTGAAATATCTTCCCAAAGCTGCACTCATTTGTTGGCGGAGAGTCAGTCTCTTCACAATGCCTAAGGTCCCCTTCCCGTGAGGGGAGTTCAGGTAGGGCGGCGGCAGGCCTCCCCGCTTCATCCCTGAGAGGCGGGATGACTTACCTGACTGCCACCTTTGGTCCCAGTGAGCAGCGTGCTCCTTTAGCTCGCCTCGCCCTGTGCTGCCTCCCCTTGGGAGGTGGTCCCCTGTCTCCGTGCTGGAAGCTGGGCCTGGCCTCTCTGGGCGGGTGCTGGGGCACGTGTCCAGTGCAGCACAGCCTGTGTCTGGGTAGGAGGCTCTGTCTGCCCAATTCTTAGTGTCAGGAAGGAGGTGCACTTTCTAAGAAAACATGTCATGTTCTTCAGTGTGGCCTATTCATGGTACTAAAGATGGCATTTTAGCTTTTTTAACTTGTTTAGAAGCGAGGTAGACAAGAGGGGGCCTTCTCAGTGGGAACCGTCTGAGAGATCTCAGCACGATGATGTGGGAGGGTCAGTAAGGTTCTTCAGCGAGCAATTCAAAGACCAGGTGTGCCTTTATTTTCAAAAGTGAAGGGGTCAGAATCGATTCTGAACGTGTAATTTCACGCTGTGCCAGGCCACACCTGTACCTTTCCCTCTGTATTCTCCCCCCACCCTTCTTCAGTGTCTTCTTTCAGATTTGGAAGAAAAGATACACCTCTTTCTCCTCTTCCTGTTCTCTGCCAGTTTATAAAAGCATAACTGACAATGCAAACGTGGTTGTCTCAGATTATTACTTAGAAGAGACAAGAATAGATAAACTGTGAAATCACAATGTGCTGGTTTTCATGTCAATGTCAACTCTTGAAATGGCAAATGGCCTGTGATCAAAAGTTTTGGTGATCATATTTTCTGCTTGTGTAAGGAATATCTAGTTAGGTGGCACCTCAGTTTTTATTGAAGGTGTTCTTTTTGCATGATTTCTTTGATTTCTGGGATGGGAAAACCTCTCAAGCTCAAGTTTGGCTGAAATAATTGTTGGATGTTCTGATTGGAATTGAACAAGATACACTGGTATTATGGGCTGAATGTTCGAGTCCGCTGCAAATTCATATGTTGAGGCCTTAACTCCCAATGTGATTGATTGTATTTGGAGGTGGGGTCCCTGGGAGGCGAGGAGATTTAGATGAGGTCGTGGGGATGGGGCCCCCACAATGGCATTAGTGCCCTGCAAGGAGAGGCAGAAACACAGAACTCTTTCTTCCCTTGTGCCCACACACTGAGGAAAGGCCAGGTGAGGACACAGTGAGAAGTAGACATCTGGACATACGGACCGAAGGCTAGCAGCCACCATGGCCTTGAGCTCTTTTTTCTGTGTTTTGGTGACACCGGGTATCCATGGTCAGGCCTAAGCTGTGAGGACAGGAAGACACAGTCAACTGGGGTCTGAATCCCAGATCTGTTCCTCTCTGGGTGACCTTGAACAAATCATTTCACTTCCTCAAGATCATTAAATATTTTTGCTATGAAATAATTTCAAACACAGAGATGCAAAGAACAATAAAATGAATCCCCATGTAACAGTCACCCAGGTTCAGTGGTTATCAAGATTTTTATATATTTACTCTATCTCCTACTTTTCCTATTTGCTGAATTATTTTAAAGAAAATCCCAGAGCTGTCATTTCATTTCACACATTCATGTTGAGTATGCATTGCTAAAAATCAAACAAACAACAAGAAAAACAGACATTTTCTAATATAACCATAATGTTAATGTTGTACCTAAAAATTAATAATTATTTTTGGTAACGTTTAACACCAATCCATAATCACATTTCCCAGATTGCCCCGCGTTCACTTTCTATCAGCTTTAAAAGGAGGTTACTAACCCCACGCTGCCCTCTAGGCAGGGATTTTTGCGGGAGGGTATTGTGTACCTATTATGAATAAAAAAATGTTTGAATTTGACACAACATGGTAAAATGATTATGAATCAATGAAAAATGTTAAAAAAAATGTTTGACGTTCTGCTGTATAGCAGGGTCTCTTGCCTTGAAGACTTTATAATCTGAAGAACCTGGTACGAGATGTGGCCCAGAACACGCGCTCAGTGCGTGTGATGGTGGTAATGACTGCGGGTGCCTCCACGGTGCTCGCTCTGTGCTCAGAACAGCGCTGGTCTCCAGGGAAGAGACAACAGGGTACAAACGGCCTAAAGCAGACCCTCGACTTGCTGTTAGGCGTCCTCTCTGTGTCTGTCTCCCCGCCCCCCCCCCAGCAGAAAGCCTACCTTTGCTGCCCAGCAAGCTTGCCTTCACTCTCTCCTGTCAGGAGTGAGACTCCTCCAGCAGCTGTCACCAGTCTTCGGGGACCCTGTGTCCCACAGAAGGTCCCGCGCTGAAGCCGTATGTCGAGTACTTGGCAGTCAGTGTGCTGCCAGGCCAGCGGCATCCTCCCCATGCGGCCATGTCACTGTTTCCGTCAGGTTCCCCGTGCCCCCTGCGCTGCTCAACCCTTAGATGCTCCCGGCCGTCACCAGCCTCGCCAGGTCCCTCCTGCACGTGCCCCAGGCACCTTCTCTGTCCAGTGTTGTTTTGTGTGTGTACAGCTTGTAAAAACGCGTTGTTGTTCCCCCTCTGTCCTTACTGTTGTGTTCTTCCCTTGTAACCGCAAGACCTCCGGATGTTGCACTCGCTGGTTTTTTTTTTTTAATTTCAGTTATTTATTTATTTATTTTTAATTGAAGTGCAGTCAGTTTACAATGTTGTGTCAATTTCTGGTGTGCAGCATGTTGGTTCAGTCATGCACATACATACATGTATCCGCTTTCGTATTCTTTTTCATTATAGGTTACCACAGGATACTGAATATCGTTCCTTGTGCTGTACAGTAGAAACTTGTTGTTTCTCTATTTTATATATGGTAGTTAGTGTCTGCAAATTTTGGACTCCCAGTTTATCCCTTCCCACCCCCTTTCCCCACTGGTAACCACAAGTTTGTTTTCTATGTCTGTGAGTCTGTTTCTGTTTTATGAATAAGGTCATTTGTGTCTTTTTTTTTTTTAGATTCCACATATGAGTAATATCATATGGAATTTTTCTTTCTCTTTCTGGCTTACTTCACTTAGAATGATGATCTCCAGGTCCATGTTGCTGCAAATAGCATTATTTCATTCTTTTTATGGCTGTGTAGTATTCCATTGTATAAATATTCCACAACTTCTTTATCCAGTCGTCTGTCGATGGACGTTTAGGCTGTGTCCGTGTCTTGGCTGTTGTGAATAGTGCTGCTGTGAACCACTCATTGTTTTTGCCTCCAGAGTTCTGTGACCCTTGGCAACGACCAAATGTTGCCTCGTCTGCAAAACCTTCTTTGGCAAAATTCGGTGTCCAGTGTGCTCTTCCCCCAGTGCTGATCCTGCCTCTGTGAGGGCACTGATGAGGCGTGGTAACTCCTTGTCGTGCTTTGACTGTGTGTGCTCTTTCTGCTTGGGACACCTCAAAAGCAGAGCCTGCAGTGCTTCCGTGTGACTGGTGCCCAGTGCTGTGGGCACAGAGTAGATGTCTGATGACAGCTGGATGAGTGAGGGCCTGAATGAGTCAATTCAGGGAAGGTTAAAAAAGAGAAAGGGAAACAGTGACTTGATAAGTGAAGAAAAGCGACTTAAAGGGGAAGGGAGTCGGGGGGCGCCTTGGATGGTGGCTTTGGCCGTGTGTCGAAGCAGACGATAATGGAGGAGAACCACCCCAGGAGGGCACAGCCTTCATGTCGGCACGCGGCGCCCAGCGCTGCTGTGCCGTTCCCATTGCCGGAAGGCACACCAGGGAAGCGGGCAGGTGGTCCAGCCACGCTGCCTGGCGTTTGTTGGAGAATCAGCGGCTGTTATTCCGCACTGTGTGGGCAGAGTATGTGTGTTTATTTTATTTCACTCTTGCACAAAGAGTGATTCTCTCCTGCCCTTGGATGAACGAGGGCACCCAGCCAGCACGTAGTTGCTTCACACCTTTTGTCTTCTAAGTACTCTTTAACGGAGGCACTGGGGATTGAACCCCGGACCTCGTGTACACCAAGCATGCGCTCTACCACTGAGCTAGTGATTGCTGGAAAAATATTTGTTAAGTAATAAAATATTACTGATTCTCCAGTCCTGCCTGCCTCTTGACTTTCTTGGAATTTGATAAGGGTTTATTCTCTTGGAAATGAAATCTCCTCAGAGATAGTAACTTAATTTCCTTTTTATCCATTGGCCCTTAAACGGAGCAGCTGCTGGTGATTATTTAAATAAATTGAATAAAGCTTCTATTTTCTTTTTATCTCTTGTGGTCGCTGTCCCTTTATTTCTGTCAGAAGATTGGACTCATTGGACTGTCAGGGGTTGGGTTAAAATTTTTATTTTTGCTCAAAAATTAAAAGAAAGCAAAACAAAAGCTCTCCCACCCCTTACTTCAGTATTAACAGCCTTCATTTTGTTTTTTGTTTTCTCGTTAGAAAAGAAGGACGTGACACAAAGCCTGGAAAACTACACGTCCAAGTGCCCCGGGACCATGGAGCTCATCGCCCTCCCGGACGGCCTCCCGCTGCCGCCCGTGCCCTTCACCAAGCTGCCCATCGTCAGGTAGGGGGCCCCGCGGGAGGTGTGCTCTGGCCCCGGCGCCTGCCTTGGGTCTGACCAGGGGTGCCGATCTGGAGAAGAGTTACTCCCCGCTTACGGAAGCAAGTCAGTTAACCTCCCCAGGCATCAATTTGCTTAGCCAAAAAGAGTTGAGAAATAAAGCCCACAGCAGGGGGTGACTAGGAGGGTTCAGTCAAATAGCGTGTTAAAGTGTTGTCCTGTGCTTGATAAATGTGCGTCTTCTCTCTTTCTGCATTTTCTCGGAGTCAAGTGTGGTTCTGCTGGATGAAATGGTCTTGTCGCCAAAGTGAGAGTTGTGTGCTCCTGAGAAATGCGGGCAGAAAGGGTCGCTGTGCACAGAAGTTGCTGGCGGGCTGCCCTTGAGTTCTAAGACGTCCTGGTGGACAAGCATGGAGTAGCTGGCAGACTTGGCGGGCTGTCCCATCCAGAAGGCTAGGCTGTGGCCTGAGAGGTGTGGCCACATGTCTCAGAGCAGACTTGCAGCCCCTCTGCAGGGAGGCCTGAGGAGCGGGTGGCAGTCCTGTCCTGCAGTGGCTGATACACACTGATCCCGGGTCCTTGCTGGGCTTGTCTGTGAGTGAGACTTCAATTGGAGTGTGTTTGATGTGGGATTAAGGGCATGATTCATTTTTTGAAAAATTAAAAACTAGAAAAGCTTTTCTTAATCATTTTCCTTCTGTATCGTGACCTGGATCCTTAGGTTTAGACAGCCTTCCAATACAGAATATCTTGAACCTGAGAGAACATTCTGGGCTGTGGGTGCTGCATCTAGACCCTCAAGTGCTCAGCCTTCTGTCAGTGGAGCTGGGGGGTCAGAGCTGGCAGGTCACTGGGACGGAGGACGGAAAGCCCCAGGCTGGGTCACAGAGGTGGCCCTGGGTTGAAGTCAGAGCCTTGGGGTTTAGTCTTCACTCATGTGTGACCTTGGACCTTGGGCTTTGTGAGCCTTAGTTTCCTAATCTTGAAAATGGGTAGCATTTAGCATGCACCAGGTCCTGGGTTCAATCCCCAGTGCCTCCATTACAAAAATAATTAATAATAAAAATAATTAGTAAATAAACCTAATTACTCCCCCCAAATTAAAAAATTAAAAAAAAAACAGAAAATGGGTGAAAAATTGTCCCTCCCAGGCTACTGGTTTTGTTTTAGCTGGTCTGGTGCCTGTGAAGCAGGGAGCTGGGAGTAAGCCTTAGTTTTCTTCCTGCAGACATTTTTATACCTACATTTTCAAGCAGCGTGTTGATGGAAAAAAATCCTATCATATTAACATTTTAATCCCTTGTCTGTTTAAACACGTCAGCTAGCACAGATTGGGTGCTTAATAGTTTAACATTTAGGTGAATACTCTTTTTTTTTTTCTTTTCCTGAAGATATGTTTCCCCAAAGAGAAACATTTCCTAAATTCACAATATCCTCAGAATTGTTCTTGGCTTAAACTTCTGTATAGAAATGTCTGGAATAGAAAGTTTTAAATATCAGAACCCCTAGGCAAAGTCTCCTCCGTGCGTGGCAGCGGCGCTCACTGTCGGGGTCCTCGCGGCCCGCGGTGGGGAGCGTCCCTCTCAGCAGCTCCGGGAGCCCGGCCTTGGGTTCTGGTGCCGGTTAGTCTCTTGTCCGCTGTGGTCATGGACTGTTCTTTGAAAATATGGTTTCACATGCTCCCCACTCTCTGCGTGACTATGTGTTTTAATGGTTCCTGGAGACTTTGAGCAAGAGAAATAAGCCCTCTCCGTCCCGGTGACTCATTCACTGCGCCAGTCCTCCCTGATGTCGTTAGGAACTGGAGAGAAGTACTGCCTGGGCTTAGGTTCGGGAAGTCCAGCGTCTGGGTTCCTCGGCCCCCGCAGCGTTAGCACACGGCAAAATGGAAGGAAGTGTCTCTGGGAGTTGGACAGTCAGAGTATCTCACTGCCTGCCTTGTTTCCTGTGGCTGTAGGCCAGAATCCAACTTGCTTGCTCTGCGTGCTTTGCCTGTGTGACAAGGTGCAGCTTCTTTCTTCTGGAGCCTCCACACTTGCCCCTTGCTTTCCCCTGTGGCTGCTGGGGCTGCGGGCTCCGATCTGCGTCAGCCCCCCAACCACGTGGCGGAGCAGAGGCCGTGTGTAGTCCCCCTACAACAAAACCGAGGAACTGTCGGGCACAAGACAAGGGGCAGTGCCCGACAGGAGGCAGCCGACGAGGCCCACCGCAGCGGCACCCCCGCCTGCCTCGCCCCAGCCTTTTGGCTTCCTAACTGTAGCGCTTGTGAGTCAGGACAGTGATAGATTCGTGTTTGTCCCTGTGGCTTCCTTTCCCAAGTCAAAAAGCCTTACCTCGGAACAGCGCCTCCCGGAGCTAAGTGACTGCTTTACTGGGACCCTCTCTGACCCAGCGGGCTGCTCGTCTGCTTCCTTTAATCTGTTTTATCGGTGTTCCGATTCTCAAATTGTCCCCGATTTGGCTGGTGGGAGCCCCTTCCCGCTGGCTCCTGTGTCCTCTGTGCTGTGCCCATCATTCTTCGAGCATTTTCTCCTTTTCTGGGACAAAAGGACGCCTTGGGCTCAGCTTGTGCTTTGCTGCTCCAGCCCCACAGCCAGCCATCTCTTCAAAGAGCCCTGGATCGTTTCAGTGGGGAAGGAATCAGGCTAAGATCTGGGTGCTGTGTGTGCTCGTGCTGTTGGGGCGTCGCTGCTCTCAGTGGTAGAACCAGG